GCGTTCTCCTTGGTCCACGAGTGGTCTTAGCCGGACAATTCTGATTAAAGGACGAGATAATAGCCCATTGCAACTGGTCAACGGACCGATCAACATCATTTATTGTGCGTATATTACGCGAGATGGCCTCTAGATTTACTTTTAGGTTGTCTTTGTAAGACTCCCAATTGGTTCTCTTAGGATTCCTATAAGTAGTTTGATTTACTGTGATGTTACTTATTTTATAGCATATATATCTGTGATCCGATAGAGACGGCTCATCAGATACATGCCAGTTACTTACCAGGTTTCCTATGTTATTCATCCCTAGTGTCAAATCAGTAACCTCCTTCCTATTGCAAACCACAAAGGTAGGTTCGTTACCATCGTTTAGAATATTCAGGTTTGAACTCACCAGAAATTCCATAAGGCCCTCTGTCCCCTTGGGTTAGTGCTGGTGCTCCCCCACAAGATGTGGTGCACGTTGGCATCACACCCAATGATGAGTTGCTTTTTCCTGCTAAAGCAGTAGTCTATGATGTCCCTCATTTCCTTAGTTGGTGGTGGTTCTTCCGAGTCGTATGGAAGGTAGACTGAAGCAATTATCAGCTCCTTGCTGCCTTCTCGATACAGGTACGTTATCCTTACCGCTGTTGTATCCCTAGAACAGAGCTCCAGCAAAGGCAAGGCATTAACATGATTCCTGATATAAACAGAAGATCTTGCATTATTACTGGGTACAACAGAGTAAACTGTTCCCCCTGTATTATTTAAGCCCCTTATTCGACCCTTGTATAACCAAGGTTCCTGAATAAGGGCTATGTCTGCCTTGCCCTCAGCTAGCTGTTGGCACAGAGCTGCCGTGGCAGCTTTGCTGCGGTGTAGGTTGATTTGAAGAAATTTCATGATCTCTTCCAATTGAGGAGGTGTCAATTTCCATCTTATGTCCCTCCTCTTTCTCGGACTGGGTTCCATGTGAAGAGGTCCCCTGATCCATTTTACTTCGGTCGGCACATATATAGATAAGTGCACCTCCCAAGAGTCTGTAGGATTTCAGGTGTGGTAGTTCTTCCTTTGGAGTCCTACGTAACACTTCGCCCAATGCTTCCAGGATGGAATTTTGGTCGTTTTCGGTAAGCTTAACTTCAGGGTAAGTCTCCCTGAAGATAGCTACCTTTACATTGGTCAGAGCTTCCTTGTAAGTCCCTGGTCCTTTACAGTCCCTGGGCTTTTTCAGAGTTCTGGCCATTTCTGCAGGAGTGCTGCCCTCCGACCTTGGCCTCTTATAGGTGTCGGTGGAGGTTTCTCCCTGCTTTGACGAGCTTGCATTCCCTGGTTGCTGACCGCTCCCAGTTCCTGCTTTGCCCCTGCTGCAGGTATGTTGGAAGTACTGGATCCCTGCAGTGGTGTGTCAGTGCTGCCGACTCCCAAGAGAGCAGTTTTTGGTTTTGCCTCTGGCAAGTTTTGAATCACTGGTTCATCCTTGCCTTTGGCTGAAATTTCAACAGCAGGTTCGCCGGTTGCAACTGAGCCCCTTAATGGTTCACCAGAGCTTCCAGCCCCCTGCTGAAGCATTTCTTGTAGGGATCCCCTTAAAGGGGGGTCCCTCTTCAGTTTAAGGTCCTTACGACCGGTTTTTGTGTTAGGTCCCTTTTTCATTTTGGTCCCACGAGTAATGGGAATTCAAAAGGTCACCATCCGCAGAGCCCCATATGGGTGGAAGGCATAAATACAACGGTGTGCTGCCTGGTTCCCGAGGGGATCGTTTGTGACACTGGCCAATAACCCCCCTCAGTGCCATGCAGCCCTCAGCACGATGCCTCACACCTTGGCTTAGGAGGTTGGTCCTTCATAAGTATAACCCTCACAAGCCTCCAGGACCAAGAGTGCATGTTCGGGGGAGAGGGATATCCCAGATGGTCAATGGGAGTGCGATACTAATTGTCATGAGGTTGCGACCAGGGCATCCTACATGAGTTTATCGCCCCTGGAGGTTGCTTCAGAGCTCCCCCATTCCCACCCCTCCACATGGGTTGGTCGAAACCATTTTAGAGTGTTGAGCCCTAAGGCTTGGAGCACCTTATGGGTACTCTAGGGAGACAACTCAAATAGCCGTAGCTACCCCCATAGTAGTGCTCTCCCGCATTCGTCCCAGGTACATCATAATGAAACCCAAGAGTCATTATGCCGCCATGTGGGAGGCTCTGGTCCCTTTATGGAAACTTGGCCACCAGCTCCGGAGGCTCATGCTAATGCAGACCCCCCAAGTCTGTCATTGCCCAGCAGGACCACGAGGAGGTGTTCCAAAACTGTGTCTCAACACATCCCTGGTCTATGATACGTTCCCACCAAAGACAGCCACCCTGCCCCGTCCAAACTTGAAAAGGTATCCTTTCAGGTGACAGTGTCCAGCAAGTAATCCTACCATCCAGCTTAGTTGATCTCTGTTTAATCTCAACAGATAATTTGTTCTTCTGGCCGAGGGTCCTGACATAAAACCCTTTGCCTGTTTGAGTCCAATTATGGATTCCCAGTATTTTTTATGGTTTCTATCAGTCCAGTCCCTGATCGCTTTTTTGGAAACTCCAATTGAGATGCTGCAAGCTGGTTCAGGTCCTATGAACGGCTGTCCAGGTCCTGTTCTTGCCAGTTGATCTGCGGTTTCATTCCCTACAATACCCCCATGGCTTGGCACCCACATCAGCTGAACCCTGTTATGTCTGGCCAGTTGTGTGGGTGATTGGTGGCAATCCCAAACCAATTTTGAAGTGATTTGGTGTGTACCAAGTGCTTTAATTGCAGCTTGACTGACTGATAGGATTTTTTTTTTCCTTTGGTGCTACAGCCCTTATTTAGGCCTAGGCCTAGCTCCATGAAACACTTTCACTTTGGTTTACTAGATCTTAGACATTCGGTAGGACTCCTTGGGCGGGTGACCACCTCGTCACAGGGCCTCTACCTGTACACAAACACAGAAAAATGCACACAAACATCCATGCCCTGAGTGGGATTCAAACCCATGATCCCGGCTTCCAAGCAAGTGAAGACAGTGCATGCCTTAGACCACTCGGCTACCGTGACTGGCCTGATAGGATATAGATGTTCCTATTTCTGTAGTTCCTATCTAAATTTTCAGCTGTGCATGCCTTAATGGCATACACCTCTGCCAGGAATACTGTTGTGTACTGACCAAGGCTGAAGGTATGCTTCCACCTTGTTCCATCACAATACACTGCAGCTCCAATGCATTTACTTGTCTTGGAACCATCTGTATAACAGATCAGTCCCCCCTTTCCATTCACTTCTATCAGGAAATCTGATCGTGAAGGGTCTATCATAAACATGTTTTGGAAGCCCATGATATGTATGTATTGACCGTCTTCTAGTGCACACAGTCTCACATGTCACTTCCTACATGTTACGGCATCACTGTGCCATCCTCAGGTGTGTTATTTACATTAAACTATTGCATTGCTCACCATAAACAACACACGATGGTGAGCAGTGCAATAGTTTAACGTAAATAATACACCTGAGGATGGCACAGTGATGCCGAAACATGTAGTGAAGTAACATGTGAGATTGTGTGCACTAGAAGACGGTCAATACATACATATCATGGACGAGAATCAGTGCAACAGGATGCTAAAATACAACAATGTTTTGGTAACATTTTATCAGATCCCATCTGTAGGATGGGTTCTTTTTTCATGTCCCGAGTCATGTATGCATGTCCAAAAACCTTCAGATTTAGGTCTCCATTGATCATTGTAATGTAACCTGTAATTTCCTAACTTGGCCTCTCCTTCCATCTGCAAATGCAGTGGATGGAGTCCTAGTAGGATTTCCATTGCAACTGTTGGAGCTGTTCTCATTGCTCCCATAATTCCCAAGCAGGTTGTCCTTTGCAGTTTGCTAAGTTCTGCCTGACTTGTTTTGAGTTTGACTCTAGGCCACCATATAGTGGCCGCATAGGTGATTATGGGTCTTACCACTGCAGTGTATATCCAATATGCCACCCTTGGTATCAGTTCCCAAGTCTTCCCAAACTTGCCTCTGCATGTCCAGAGGGCTTTATAGGCCTTATTAATAGCCTTATCCAGCTGCTGTTTCCATGTCAGCCCCTTGTCTAATGTTAATCCAAGGTACTTGACTTCACTGGATAGCCGGATCGCTTTACTGAAGAGGATTGGTTCTTTGAGTCCCTTTATATCCCTCTTCCTAGTAAAGGGTACAATCACCATCTTGTTTGGATTGATAGACAAGTTTGTCCTTTCGCACCACTGTGGAACTGTATACAGGGCTATTTGTAGGACCTCTGATACAGTGTGCTGGAATTTCCCATTAATTAGGATTGCTATACATCAGCAAATCCTACTGTGAAGTGGCCTGTACTGTTGAGCTGTATATAAGGCTGTTCCCATTAATTAGGATTGCTATATCATCAGCATATCCTACTGTGAAGTGGCCTATAGTGTTGAGCTGTATACAGGGCTGTTCCCATTAATTAGGATTGCCATACATCAGCATATCAGCAATCCTAAAGGATGGCGAACCATGATGTGCCACACTGCTGACTAAATGTTAAAGGGGAACAAGTGGCTAATGGTTCTGATAACTGCTGCCTACTGCTAACAAACCGTAAACAAACTCCCATTCATGAACATAATACCATTTAGAGTTCTACAAGTTAATTATTTTCCTTCATTTGAAACATCTGCCATCAAGCATGCTGAGTCATTGGCAAAACTTGTTGTCCCACAGCATGCAAGACACTGGTCGCCGCACAGCATGGAGCTGTGAACTGTTCAACCCAATTAGAATTCTCCCTGTATATTACATCAAAACATCATCTAAACAAAAGGGGCATAATAAATTAAGGGAAAGCATATTCCGAAATGTATCTAGATGTGTTGTGTTATGGGTGTGAGTTCAAACAAAACATCATTTCCTACCTTATTTCATAGCACAGATTATTAAATTAACATGAAAGTAATGTTGGGTTCGTGGTTGAAAAATAGGGAAGGATCTGACTTGGGTAAGCTGGTTGGACGGCTGTAAGAACCAACATCCATGTCTCAAGTCGCTGATAATTCCTGCCTGAAGCAAAGCATTTACACCATTGATGGAATGGGGGAAGGAAAACAGGATTGGAAATTTTGTGTGAGAGTGGATACTCTTCTCCAAGAATCAGTGCTTGTGGTGGGAAGCTGTCCTGACCTTGGAAACTGGAACAGTGCTGGTGCTGTGGAACTCACCAGTGAAGGGTAGGACTTTGCAGTGTGAGGAAGTACCCATTTGGTTAATCTTGAAAGTAGCTTACTTGAGTTCCTGTAATAGGTTAACTGAATGGAACGAAGTCCTTGAGGAGCTGATAGTCATTCAGTTAGTCACAAAATTTGTCATCTTTCATGGAACATGAAGGTCCATTACTGTGTTCATAACAGCTCATAAGTGTACCATATCATGAGCCATTTGAATCCAGTTCACAACTTCACCTGTTTCTTTCAAGATCAATTTGAATATTATCCTCACATCTATATCTAGGTCTCCTAGTTTGTCTTTTCTCTTCTGGACTTCAGAGAAAAATTTTGTACGTTTTTGTCATCTTTCCATATATGCTACATACCTTGTCTGTCATGCATTTTTGATTTGGTTGCCCTAATAATATTTGGTGATGGGTACAGATTATGAAGCTCGTCCTTTGTCCTCTTACATTCCCTCTCCTAGTTCATGTATCCTTATGTTTTGTTCTCAGACACTCAGTCTGTGCTGGGAGAATTTTATGAGGAATGTCAGCCTTCCTCACAGTTGATGAAAAGTAGTGAAATTATGATATGTATATTAGAACCTATGCTGTTATATTATCATTAAACATTTTCAGATATTATCAGCATACATTATATCATATGTAATGCTTTTATCCTGACATGGTTTGACCTCTTAGATTTATGTTTGGATTATCCTACATTTCATATCAAGTGCTCTTTATGCATTTTGTTTCATTGTCTCAGAAAATCAAAAAAGTAGCATGGAGTCTTAAGGTTACAAAAATTATTAAAATGCCTGCAAAAGTTCTGAAGTCATGACATCAAATATGAATCATTGTGTGTTAAACTGAAACTTTATCTTTATATTTGAGTGATAAACATATTGTGACATGTTGCAGTACATCCATCGCTGTGCAACGGCTAGACTGGGAACACATGCTTCTGCGACAATGAATACCTGGAAATCATTGAGTTCCCACAGTGACAAATCAGATACCAACAGACAGTTGTGTAAAGATTGCGAAAACAACAAATGAGTTTTCCTGGAGATGGACAACAGAGGGTTTATTGCATCGAAGCGGGAAACCTAACTGTTGAAGACCGTGTTCGCTAAGCATTCCGAACAACACCTGTATAAGGGGGCTGAATGTACCAGAGATTCCAGAGTTGAAAGATAGCTGTCATCGAGTACAGTTGAAATATAGCCACTGCAGAAGGCAGTTGAAGATTGAAGAGTGATGATTGTGATACTGGTGACGTTATAAGTGGATAATAATTGTACTCATGACTCTAAGTGAGTGTGGCTAATAAACATGTTCGCCAAATCCAAGGCCCACATGAAGTTATTTGTCGCGCTGCATAGGCAACATGCGACAACTAGTTTCAGAAGTGGGATAGGTCGGATTCTGGAAGAAATTATTGGACCAACGCCACCTCGAATGTTATAACGCCACACGAGCAAAAAATGGACATACAACAGATGATGGAACATCTGTTAGCTGGCCAAGAACAAATGATGGCTGATAGGAAGGCCAACCAGGTGAAGGTGGATGCCAGACATGAATGATGGCCAATTGGAAAGCCTGGTGAGAAGAAATGAGAGCCAGCCACATGGAGACTGGCCGAAATCAAAACTGGAAAAGACATAGAGACGATGGAGGCACATCTGGAGGAGAAGCTGACCTCAGTAGACAGGAAACCTGAGGTGGCCCAACATGAGAATGTCAGGTCCATGTAGAAGATGCCACAGTGATGCTGGTCAGCAAACCAAAGAAGAAACAGCGTAGGGACAGAATCTCAGTTGCGGAAAAGAAGGAACAGACCCAGAGTCAGGATTGGTGCAGAAGAAGGCTGTCCATCGGTCGCAGAGGGATGAGCCGCTGTGCGAAAGTGGCATGGCAAAAGACAAAGCAAACAGAAAGGAGGGTATCTTGCAGTGCAGCAGTTGCATGATGCAGGAGAGACGCCTTCAAAATGAGACTGACTCAGAGACTTGTGGACCCCAGAAGAAGAAAAAGACCGCTGCCAAGCGAGGAAGTAAACCAGTGGCCTGTGCGAACGCAGCTCAGCCACCAAGGTTCAGTGGAAGTACACCAGTGTTCCGGCACCAATTCAAGGTGATGAAAGTGGAGCACAACCAGTGGTTGCAACGGGAAGGATCAATGTACTTAGTCATAACCCTGAGGGGCTGGGCAGCAGGCATGCTGCACGGCACCCAAACAAATACAGACATCAAGAACTGGACACCGTGGGAGGGGTCAAACCCCTCTGAAACGAAAAAAGAGAAACAGCCCATATGGGAGGAACTGATAATGTAGGAGCACCGGCCTCCCCAGTGAAACTGAATGCATGATGGATGAATGAGATATGATGGGATCAATGAATGCTGGGCCATGGAGTTGCTCGGGACGAGCACCTTTGAAGAAAGGGGGAGAGATAGCGCCCCGAAGACGAACACCAAAGGAAGGAAACACCGTTAGGCTGTTCAGGATGAACAACCTTTAGAAGGGAGCATTGTGACATGTTACAGTACGTCCATCGCTGTGCGGTGACTAGAACGAGTACACATACTTCCGCGACAACGGATACGTTGAAATCGTTGAGTTCCCACAGCGACAAATTGAGTACCAACAGACAGTTGCATAGAGATTGCCGAAACAACAAACAAGTTTCCCTGGAGATGGACAACAGAGGGTTTGTTGAGTCGCAGCTGGAAAACTTAACTGTTGAAGACGGTGTTCGCTAAGCAGTCTGAACAACGCCTAAATAAGGGGCTGAACATACCAGATATTCCAGAGTTGGGAGATAGCCATCATCGAGTACAGTTGAAATATAACCAATGTAGTAGGTAGTTGAAGATTGAAGAGTGAAGATTGTGATACTGGCAACATTATAAGTGGATAATAATTGTACTTGTGGCTGTGGCTAATAAACATGTTCACCAAATCTGAGACCCACGTGAAGTTATTCGTCGCGCTGCATAGGCAGCATGCGACAATATTATAATAGGGTACCGAAATGAGCATTCTTACATGTTTTAGTGTAACATCCTGTGAGAGTACAACAGTCTGTTATCTTGAAGGATGTGTAATACTGAAATGCATTAGGCATTCTTCATTGTGATTACACTTGCAGATTATATTTCAGTTCTATTAAATAGTGATTCTGTCACCCAAAAGATTAAATAGTACAGGATGAAAGAATTTGGTCATTATCAATTTATTAAATGATGATACTGTATGTAACTGGAAAGAGTACCACTGAAAACAAGTTAGAATTAATATATAACAAATGACAGGTAATGTACTGTATTATGTATATATATTATGTTGCAGCATAATAATTAGTATGTTGTTTCCACTGTACATGGATAACATGCTGCTATATTATTACAGTCATATTTTGTAAAAATTATCAAAAATAGCCACTTATTTTACCTTGATTTGAACTGTCACTGCAGAGTCTGTTGAGAGTGTTTTCAGTACTATAGAAGAGTCTGTAGACATAGTTGCATCACTTTCAAAATCATGGGCTCTTTGTAAAAGAATCTGATGGGAGGAATTTATTAATTGACTTGCTTGAACAAAATCAGCAATCTGTCATCGATGATCTGACTTTTCCCTTCATGTTTCCTTGTTCTCTTTTCTGTCTTCAGTGTATCGTGAGATTTAGCAGTTTCTTATGGTGATGACTGAGGCACTCTTAATTTAGCAGCCACATCACTTTGGGAGAGGCTGCTTAAGTCATATCTGTCTGTAAGATGCATTTTTTCTGTTACACTCAAATTTGCTTTCTTCTGATTCATCACCATTGTTATAAAAATTATGAATATGTCAGATAGTTAAACAATAAAGCACTGGTCAGTGAGGAGTAATACCAAGAGTCAAGGGACCTACTGGTTAAATAAAACAGAAAGGTGCAGACTGCAAGTGTACTTCAGATGTTATGTCATGAATACTGGCTCTGTGTTTATCTTCAGAATAAAGTGGCTGGCATGTGAAGCTGCGCTCAGGTCCATTAAGTGCTGAGATTAGGAATGGTGGAGCTATACCTCCACTCTCCCATATGTCTTCATGACATGGTGCTTAATTAAACACACAGAAAACTTTACCTTTTGCCACATATTACTTATTTTACCTAATGTATTATGTTGCATACTTGTCCCTTAATCTGTATGTACAGAGTGTCCAGATGAAAGGTACCAAAAGTAAGAAAAATATATCTTGGAAACTAATTTTCATACACCTATCTGGTTTATGTCATCAGAAAGGAAAACTATTAAAGTTTTTTATTTCATGCCCAACTTTTGCACATGCGTCATCTGGTGGCCTTCAGCAAGTTCAGTAACTATATGTTGACATCACAGGAATAGGTTCAACGCTTGTTGTGGCTGGCAGAGTTGCAATCTTTTATGGCTGTTCAGCATCATTTTAGAACACAAAATGGACGTCTACCTCTTAAACAGAAAAGTATTTGGTTCTGGGACAACAAACTGGGGATTACAGGTAGTCTGTTGCATGTAAAATTTCCTGGAAAGACACTGACCCCTGAAGAAAATGTCAGTTGCATTAGAGAGGCATTCCAGGGAAGTCTGTGCAAATCAGTTCATGCTGCTAGCTTGCAGTTACAAATTCCACATTCAACAGTGCACAATGTGCTACACAAAGGGCTTCTCCTAAGAGTGTACAAGATCAAATGATTCATGCACTAAAGCCAAGTGACCAAGTAGCATGCACAAGCTTCACTGTCGATATGCTAGAAAGAACTGACACGTCACCCAATTTCCTCCGCCAAGTGTGTTTCTTGGACAAGCCGATGTTCCATGTCAGTGGAGTTGAAAACAGGTACAGTTGCAGGATTTTGGACAGTCAGAATCCACGTCACATGTTAGTTGGAGAGAGGCAGCCCCAAAGTGAACATGTGGGCTGGCTTAAGGCATGACAAATTGATTGGACCATTTTTCTTTTCAGAAAAGACTGACCAGATGTTCGTACTTGGACATGCTGGAGCTGTAGGTGCTGCCCCTATTACCACCTCAGACTTTCCTCCAACAAGAGGGGTGCAGCCACATTTCTGCCACCATGTTAGGAATCAGCTGGGCAGAGAGATGGTTCAGCAGACGTGGACCAATCGCTTGATCTCCTAGGTCACCACATTTAACCCCATTGGATTTTTTCTTGTGAGGCTGTGTGAAGAACATGGTCTACCAGATGAAGTTCAACAGCCATTAACACCTGAAAGCCTGTATAAGGGGCTCTGTGACTACGGTAACACCAAACATGCTTCAGGCAACGTGGAATGAGGGCGAATATCGTCTGGATATTTGTTGTGCCACCAAAGGAGCCCATGGTGAAATTTATTGAGAAAGTTATATACTCAGAAAAAACTGATAGTTTCTCCTTGTAATGGTGTAACTCATAAATGTTTATAATAAATGCTTTCTGAGATGTAGTTATTTTATTTTGGTTACCTTTCATCCGGACACCTGTATCTGCGTCTGCCCTTTGACTAAAAATGTTATCAACACAAAATTTATTCTGTAGATAGTAAGATTCTATTACATGTGCACAGAGGTGTGTTATGGCTCTTGTATTATATTGTATATAAAATAATCTATTTTCTTCACAGTTTTGTTCATCAGTCAGCTGTATTAATGGTGTATATAAATATATCAAAAGACTTTTTTTGAATAGTTGTATTCCAACATTTTCACATATTCGTTTTTATAGGTTCCTATCTTTTCCTTTGTGTTGTTTGTACGACATTACCACTCATGTTTGCACATGGTAAATATTTTTATTGCTTGGAATTTGATATTTTTATGTCAATTGTGGTTTTCTAGGCTGTGATATAATTTGGTCTTACAGGTGGTTACACACATTTCAGAGGAGCCTACTATTTCCGTTATCACTTACACCCAGATGGAAGCAGAAATTCCTCCAAAATATCTGTACACACCCACAAAACAGTGTCACAAATCGGATGACTGGAAGCCAAATTTTTAGTATTATGAGTACCTGGTCTCTTATTTTTGATAATACTTTGAAACATTGATCTTCACTGTCCATTGAAATTCTTGTGTTACACAGGGAAGGCACATGGTCAGGAGTCATCAGTATTCCAAGGGATTGTAATGTCATGTTCCGTTACTTTGTGGGCATAGTATTCAAACCAGATGAAGAGAAATTTACTTCAAGGCAGGTGATTGTCCGGCGGTGGGAAACCAACCTGAATCCTCGCATCATACATAAAGGAGGCATGTATCTGATGATCTGTTATATATTTTTGACTGTTGTATACAGATGTGTGAAGAAAGAACATCTGGTGGTTGTTACAGTTGTTTCAAATAATCAACAAGTGATGGAACCAGACATCTTTGGCCTGTATGACAGCTGCAAGATGACAGACCGAGGGTGGCTCACTACAGAAACAGTGGTTCAGTTTAAGCTTTTTGAGAATCCCATACAGTTCTGGAAGCACAAATATGAAGGAAGAAAGGTACAGTGTATGCATTTTATTTCACTTCAGTTGTTTAGGCATTTCAAATTGAAGTAGACCGAATGAAGAATGACAATATGGGAGCACTCCTTTAATTTTAAAATTAATTTCTTTTAACCAAAATACTTCCCCTACATGTCCATTATTCTGCTTCCAGACATCCCCTTGATCCATCAGAATGTCATATTTCAAAAGTCATTTGCATTCTGCTGTGAACAAAGTATGCGTCTCAGCTCTGCAAGTGGACAGACTAATGGAATCAGTCTCTGTGTTACTGATTTTTTGTGAATTCTCTTTAAGTGGTCTATACTTAAATGATAACACAGTTTAATATGTAAGAACTATGCTACCATCAACACAACAGATATTTCAGTTATTACATTAGATCTTTATTACTGCAACATGTTTCGGTCATACATGACCATCAGGCAGGAATATGTATAGTTTTAATTGTTTCTTGCATCCTGTTGTGTATTTAATCAGTTAATTTTACCGCTCACACAACACGTTTTTATTTACTGTCACACTACATGTTTCGACCTCAAGAGGTCATCCTCAGGTGTACGAACACAGTTGCACAATCACACGCAATCACATTCGTTTTTCCACTTATTTTGATCCTGTATCCTGTTCAGGTCCACGCTCAATAATATGTGTCAAGTTCTTATAAAATATAAGTTAAAAATACAAATGTTAAAAGTTAAAATTTAGAATTTAGTTCACTGTAACTACTTATATTATTACCACTTGGTTAAAAAGTTCATGAATTAAACTTCAATTCATCACATTGACTGCACTTTCACTTTTGAAGGTCTTGTTGTTCTTCCACGTCCTTTGATGTTGAATCTATTACATTCCTTGTCATGATGGCTACAGTAGCCATCAAGTACCCTTAAAATAAAATATTTTCATGATTTATTTCAACCGTCTTCCAGTGCATACACTGATCTATCTCCTCCTCTCACCCGTGCTACATGTTTCGGCACAAAAGTGCCATCTTCAGGTGCTTATTCAATACCCAGCAGGCCCAGCAGTATAACACACGCAGTCACAGGAGCAAGAAACAACACAAAGCACAATAATGCACGATAGTGAAAGAGTGCTCCAACAGAAGAGGATAGATGTGACTCGCGTAGTGAGATATGACGTAGGGAAGAAAAAATTCCTGAACAATTTTAATATTTTTAACATTTAACATTTATCAATATATATGATAAATATATATTTTACTTATTTTAATATGAAGACAAGGCATGCAATGAACTAGTTTAGCGTAAATTGAATAAGCACCTGAAGATGGCACTTTTGTGCCGAAACATGTAGTGCGGGTGAGAGGAGGAGATAGATGAGTGTATGCACTGGAAGACGGTTGAAATAAATCATGGACTTAAATCAGTGCAACAGGACGCTAAAATATAACATTATAAAATATTTTATTTGGCATAAAGACCCCTAACCCACCTACATATATATTTTTAATACCCTTTAATATACTTATATATTTCTAATATACCTTTAATATTTTCTAATAATATTTCAACATTTTATATATAGTATACCCCTATTTATTTCTATCTTTTTATTTTTAATCATGTATTTGCTATTTTAACTATACTCCAATCTGAGGCAAAGTTTTTATGTTAATATTCCATACAACGCATAGCACTGATAAGGATCCATATCGATATTTCAGTAACTATACGTATTCCTGCCGGATGATTGTCACATATGACTGAAACATGTTGCAGTAATAAAGATCTAATGTAATAACTGAAATATTTGTTGTGTTGACGGTAGCGTAGTTCCTATATATTATATATTGTCTGTGACACACAACAGGATGTAGCCTATGAAAATAACACAGTTTGTTAATTTTTTAGACAAACTTGTGACAAACTTCTTCAATCCTTTTTTCTGAAAAATAATTTATACTTTATACTTTAAATATGTTTTGCATTGTTTAGGTTCATATAAAGCTTACCCCTCTGATGCTTTCAAAAGGAAGGACACTTGTAGAATATACACCAACATCAGACATCTTTGAGGAGAGCATGGATACACAGGATGTTGGTGAGGAGCGAGACAAATGGCCAATCACAGAGATTGCTGTTAGTATTTTGTTGGAAATTTGGAATGAAATTATCTGTGAACCGTGTTATAATGATGATGTTCTATTCTGTATGATGAATTTCATAGACTTACAGGTTATTTTAACATATTGTGACATGACGGATGGAAGCCAGAATAGACCCAGAAAAGGCATCCACTGTTAGACAGTGGCACGGTAAGAGTGTTTTGCTGTAACAAGTAACCACACAACAACAGAGGAATTGCTGGAAGCAGTGTTTTGTCTGTAGTTCATGCCAAGGCTATATAAGGAGAACCGACGGGAGTTTTTTAGTCAGTTTAGAATGTGAGTTAGTTGCTGTCAGGAGTAGGTGGTTGGGTGGTTCTGGCTGCCAGGGGTGTCAGCATAGAAGCACAGGGGTCTCCACTGTTGGGAGCCATAACTAGGCAATACATAGTGAAGACTATAACAGACTGAGAAGACTAGTGTGTGTGTTATACACATATGTACAGTGTAGTCACAGGTCATAAAGGTCCAGTAAATGCAGTAATCAATCCAAACCCTGTGTCTAGTCACCTAACACATGACAATATATATTGCTATATATATTAGTACCCTTTCGCCATACCAGATTTCAACCTTGTGTAGAATATGTTTTATACAATATTTATATGTATAATTAGTTATCTTGTAAAAATCCAATCAGCTTAAATGGTCCATAAATTATTACTGTAAATCAGGTAGAGAGTCTGTAAATTACATTGCAGCCACTTTCTTGTTTACACATATTACAGTATGCGCCAAAAATACAGTACTGAAATTGAAATTGATATCACTGTCTGTTCATGTGAAGGCCCCCTGCATGACAGAACCTTTTCAAATCCTGAAGAAATGGTCCAATCACCATGTCCCTGTAGCGTTCTTGGGTAACGGTAAGAGCATTGCCTTCCTTATCCTCAATGAAATAGGGGCCTAATATACAGTGTGCTGAGATGGCAAACCATATCATCACGCGTGTACTATGTAGCGGTTTCTGGATGATAACATGTGGCTGCTCACAACCAAGGAAGCGAGTTGTCTGGCGACCACTTCTGTTTGAGTCGAAATAATACTCAACTAAGAATACTTTTTCCTCCGTTGAGAGACCCATTTCCAACAACAACTGCACAACATAACTTCCTTTTCACTACTGGGTACACGTGCGGCTGGAGCTATGCCCCGTCGACAAAGGCACATGCGCGAGTTTCAGAACCGCAAATTTTGGTGCATACTGTACAAACTGCTGGAGCATAGTTGGTTGTGTTGAGAAAGACTGAATTTTAGAACCTTACTGAATGACCTCAATTGTGTCCCCTCATAAAAATTAAATTATTTTGCTTGTGAAAAGAGCTCAGAATTCTAGCTTTGAGATGATTTCAAAGTAACAGCCTGATTCAGAATGGTGTGTTATTAAAGGATAAAATATATTGTATAATTTGGATTTCTCATAGTGGTGAATGGTAGGAACCTGCTACATCCATCTTCAGCTTATACCCTGAAGCTGAAGACAGCAAATTATGCTGGAACATTGGTAACTGTCTATCAAATTACAGTGCATCATGTCATAGAACACCATGATCTTGTAACATGTTAGTTATTTCTCATACTTAACTGTAATAATTATCAGGGACTGATGTTTCAGTGTGCTACAGAAATAAAGTTCTGGACAATGCTGAAGGGTGTATGTACAAGGGATATTCGGAAAGTAACTTACGGTGTGCTATTAAAAAACAAGTGATGAGAAAACAATTTATTTACTTATTATTATTTATTTATTTATTTATTTATTTATTATTATTATTATTATAATAATAGGGGGTGGGTTTTCCCATGCACCGCGACTAATAATGTATTGTACGTCCCCCTTTGATATTCTACCAGTCGCCATACCCTGCCGGTACTGGTGCTCACTATCAGCCCTGTTCAGCCAGCGAGGATGGCAGTGGTACCTGATAACTTCCCCATCTACCGGAGGCATTGGAAACTACTTGGGCAGGAAACTTTTTGCCTAATTTTGCTCAGAGGTCTCCTAGAGACATAAGGATCTTTTACATGCCGTAAATCTACGACACAGTACCCATGGCTTAAAGTCCCTCCCGGAGGACTTGTTCCCTGAATTTTTCCGCCCTTAAAAATTCCACGATCTCCACCGGGTTTGAACCCGCGTACCTTGAGTCATGAGGTGGTAACGTTACCCCTAGACTACGGAGGCCGCTTATTTACTTACTTACTCATGGAGCTGAGCCCTTCTGGAGGAGCTGCAAATTCTGCAGCTACTCAAGAATTTCCCAGCATTTTATGGAACCCGAAGGTTCATTACTGTGTTCACAAGAGCCCTCCACTGATTCCTATCCTGAGCCAGATCTATCCAATCCATACCATCCCATCTTATCTATCTAAGATCCATTCTAATATTGTCCACCCACCTATGCCTTGGTCTTCCCTGTGGGCTCTTTCCTTCTGGCTTTCCCACCAATATCCTATACGCACTCCTTGTCTCCCCCAATCGTTCTACATGTCCTGCCCACCTCATCCTCCTTGACTTGATCATTCTAATTATACTTGGAGAAGAGTACAAGTTATGAAGCTCCTCATTATGCAGTTTTCTCCAACCTGCTGTCACTTCATCTCTCTTCAGTCCAAATGTTCTGCTCAGCACCCTGTTCTCAAACACCCTCAGTCTATGTTCCTCCCTTAATGTCAGAGACCAAGTTTCACACCCATACAGAACCACAGGCTTAGTAATAGATAGGAAAACAATATTAAGATGGATCTTGAGGAAATAGGGTATGAGGCTATGGGCTGGATTTATGTAGCTCAGAATAGAATTCACTGGCAGGCTGGTGTGATCATGATAATGGAAGGCAGGAAATTCATTGACTAGCTGATTGATCATCAACTTCTCAAGGGTGCTTGTACTCCATGGTGCTGGTTAATTGGTTGAGTAACTACTTAAAGCAGAGTCCTCCCTGAGAAGCTAACAGTTGCTCAGCCAATCAGAAATTTCCTGAATTTTATAAAAACTGAAAGTTCATTACTGCATTCACAGAAACGAGTTTGATTTTCGATACAACAAACAAACACCCACAGTTTGTTCTTGTTTGAAGTCCAGAGGTTGAAACAGTCTTTCGCTCACTTGGCTCTGTCCTTCGAGACTTCACTCAGGGTTCCAGTATTAAAAATTTTTAATATGTTCAGAATTTTTAAAAGCCAAAAGAACCCTGTAAAATTGTTTAGGTGCACATTCTTTCCAAGTTTCAATTGTCTTGATGTAAAATGTTATATGGCTTTTGGAAGAGGAAATCTTCGTGTGGTGAATTTCTGCGTTAATTATGTGGGCTATGTAGGGTTTATGCCTAATATTACATTAAGCTTTGCAGTATTTGTGCTTCGTTTAACTGAAATTTTGAATGGTGATTTACATGATCTGAATGATTTTGCCTCAGTCTCTGCTTGATTAACCCTTGGAAAGTATTTTCAGATCATTACATGTATCATCTTCAAGTCTTGACATATGTGTTTGTATTGTTTTGGACCTCCTCTTCTTGTATCTTCCCACAGTGAAATGTGTTTTCTCTCTCCTTTTGTCACTTATTTTAATTAGTCGTCTTGATGGTTACTGGTTCATCTTTAAAATGTAGGTAATGAATGAGAATGAGTGGGAGTTCCAGCTACAGGAGCAATTTGGACGAGCATACAATCCTAATGACTGTATAATCTTCAGTGTGAGCATGCATTTTCCTGAAGCTGTGGTGAGTATCAGCCTGTTGTATAATTGATACATATTTCTGTTCCCCCTTGCAGTGATGACTTTGGATATATTTGGTTAATGCAAAAAACAAGGATATTAAGAATGGACTGGTGAAGTAAAAATGACAGTATTAATCAGAGTGTTTGCTGTTTTAGTGCATTTGTCATATCTATTGTATTGATTTATTTCAGTTTTTTTTTTTTTGCACAAAATTATTTGAAAGTTTGCAGATCATTGTGTAGAAAGTGGTCTCTGTTATGATTTAACTGCATCAGTTATAGTGCTGCTTCTGTAAGATGTTTTTGTATCATTAGTGATAAGAATATATGCATTTCACATATTGGGATAGCAGTTATACATTGTGATTATAATAATTGCACTCTCATAATTATTCAAGCAAGTATGGGCATTGGGTATGATTCTTTTAGCTTACTTGTTGTTCAGTGTTTGCAAACCTTACACATAGGACTACTCACAAATATCAGTTTTTAACCTTTAATGTACAGGTTACAAATCCAGTCTTAAAAGCCGATTTTCCAGGTTTTAAATCAATTTTAAATGCCCACAGCACAGCATATCCAAAAATGAAATAAATTTATAACGTTTTTTAAGTTAGGAACTTCAGACAAAATATAGATTATTAAAAATAAATAAATAGTTGTATGCAAAAGTCTGAAATGACCAGTTTCTGTATACACATTGTGCATTATATTTCTTTACAATTGTTTTGAATATTTTCACGTTTCACAAACCTGTGGTTTAATGTAATGAATTTTAATGATTCATTTATTTATTCATTCATTTCTTCATTCATTCATTCATCCATGTATTTTAGAACTTTTTAATCATTTTAAGCTTTTAATGTTCCCATGCTACAAAATGCATTATCTTGCTGTGAAAGTAGTGTATGAGGAAGTTCATGAGACAAAAATATGATTCTAGGTCAAAAGCAAAAGTACCATCCAAGTTGTGAAACAAAGCAATAATTCACCAGTTTATAACATCATCAGATTCTGTGCCAATGCAAGTGTTTCTCACCATAAATGTGACAGGTCATTTCAAGGAAAGAGGTCAAAAAGTGTCAGACCCCACACTTATAATTCTTTCATTAATGCTTAAAGGTTGTGGTGGTTAAACATACAGAACACACAGTTTGACATGCGCATCTGTGAAACTTCACAAAAATACAGTGTTTCCTGTGGCAAATATCTGAAGGAGACAACAGAAACAGGAACTTACTTCAGTTTCTAATATTGTAAATTATGGCAGAGAAAGAAGTCAACCTACTAGAGAAAATTCTCAGTCTCATGTTCATCATTAAAAATTTGTCAAATTCTTGTCTCATCTTTAACTGATAAATCATTGTCACATATTCCTAAATCTTAGATTTGGATAGAAATAGTGCCAGAAATTTTTTACTTCTGTATATGGTCTTTCCTGGTACTAGGTCATAAATTATGACCACTATTTGCCACTTTGTTTGAACTCAGTCTTCCATGGCCAATAAGCTTTCAAGGTAAGCCAGTTTCCTTAACAGCACATGTATTTTTAACATAAGCCTTGTTCATGATGTGAGCTTTTTAGGGAAGATCTTATTGCTTTTTGTTGCATGCTGTGTCGAGGGGTTCTGTAGCAGAGAGGAAGCAGTAATATATATTCATCTGCCTAGTTCTCTCATGTTACAGTATGATTACCTCAGCTTTCTCTTCAGAATGACTGGTATGGGAAATGTGTTCTTAACTTTTATCTTTGCACCAGTTGCTCCACACCTGATGAGCTTGCAGCCAGTCTATTTGTGCACAGTAGTAGCATGCTAAGGTCATTTACCTTTCATGTGACATGTTCTTGGCCTGCAGGGTTACCTCCCATTTGTGACATCTCAGTTAGCTTTGCAGACTGGTACTGTACAGGATGTTAAAAGTTGACCATGGCATCTTCAAATATAAATACAAGAGGATAACAGTTGCACAAAGATGAGATTGAACTGATACTTGATATGTGTATAATATCCAAGAAAACAGGAAAATTCAGAACAAATGAGTAGTAAGATGATATGACAGAACAGTCCTAAGTCTACTAGTCCATTGTCTGTTCATGTGGGGCTGATGAAAGGCCCAAATGGTCGTAGGTGTTCATGACCACAAATAGAAGAAAGTTCTGTCAGCAATGAGATGACACCTTTTTTGCTTGCATCACAAGTGATGTTGAATTGGGAATATCTCTCAGCTCATTGGTGGTATGACTGAAAGAAGCGAACCATGTTTTCTCTTCAGATGGCTTAGGAGTAGTGCATTCCAGCCTGGTATCATCATGTCATTTATTCCCCTCCCTGGAAGTGTCCAAGCCATGAAACATTTATAGTTGTTATGTCCCATGATCCTGTCTACCATGTGACCTTTTCCCCTTCCACGATCTGAAATGAAGGCCCTTGTTAGTAGAGACATAGCTAGCCTAGTAGTTGGTTTCTTACTGTCAGTCAGGGAAGTGAGTCGATAAACTGTGTTCTGATTTTCAGTTCTTCCAAATTCTGTTTGGATTCTTGATCCACTCAATGAGGGCAAGGGTGCCGTTTGTTACGTTGATAACGTAAGTTTTTCTTTTGGCTGTTGTGGCAAGGTTTTTGGGTATTCAGTAATCTTTATTTTGCTGTTGTCCAAATGATTTCGGTTTCAGTTATTTCCAGTATAATTGGGTGACATTGTGAATGGGGTTGGTTTTATAATGTTGTCTGTAATGTCTCGAGTTTTCTTAGTCTGTGGTATACAGATGCATCTGAGTGATTATGTGATTACAGCAGGCTATGTAGAGATTTCTATGACTTGTAGTTCTAGTAGGGATGTGTATTGTATTGTATTGTATTGGAGAGGGTGGGTTTCCCCATGCACTTAGACCAAATGTTGGTCCATTGTGCGTCCCCCTGTGCTATTCTACCAGTCTCTATTCCCTGCCGGTACTGGTGTGTGCCATCAGTCCCGACTCAGCCAGCGAGTTCAGCCTCTACCGGCTCAGCGGTATCTCGATGCTTCCCCCATCTACCAGAGGCGTTAGAGACTACTGTTGTCTTGTATATTAATTGGAAGATGTTCGGAATTCACAATAAATGGATCACGAACCCAGTTGAAATCTTGTACACTCTCTCCAAAATACTTATTGAATTTCTGCTGCAGCATTTCTAAATGTTCTTTAATTGTGTCCACCACCACTTTATTGCTGTCAGCAAGTGGCCATACAGTCGGGGACATCTCAATCGACCCATCTGTAATTCTCTAACTAGTGACCAAAATTTGCGATCTACTTCAGAGCACAGCTGTGATAGAACTGAAACAATTGTAAAACACGGGATCTCTACTCTTCAAACGGAAGAAGTGACACTATACCAACTTATTTTTGAAATATTTATAATTTTAAATGAAGTCCAACAATCAGTGGGTGCATCGTTACGGGAAGAAAGTCATAAAGTTGGAGAAGCTCTAACTTCTAACAAACAGGCCCAAATACCAAAACAGTGTTACAAAAGACAGGAAAATCCATGCTAATCCCTGCAGTTTTAGGGAAAAGCACGTACACAGAATATGTGGCAAGCATATCAAAGAAGCTGCATAGATGCGAGAAAAATAAAAATAAATCAGTAATGAACACTATGATATAACAACAACTGTGAGTAAATAATTTTCGTTTAATTTCTTAGAATACAACATTACTGTACATAAAAAATCACAGTATGTAATAAAGAATAAACAAGCATCATCTTATTTAATCAGTGCAGTGGCTGAGTATAAAATACAAGCATATGTAACACGGTAACTGGGATAAAATAAAACAAATAAAATTTGACAATTAATTTCTTACAATAGGTAAAAGTTCACATCACACCTTTCACCTTGTGGCGGCACACCAGTGTGCCGCGGCACACTGGTTGTGGAACACTGGTCTAGACTATCCATTTCCTTGGTTTGATGATCAACAAGAACAAGTCTCTTTTTGACACCAGCTAGTTCTCTCATATATTCAGGCCTACAGATACACTCAGATTGGTGGAGTATCGTCTCAACTCTGATATGTGTCCAGAAGCTAAAGGAATATACAGCAATATTTACACAAGTGTCTTAGCAGGATTTTCAGAGGATTGCATGTCATGCAGCTGGCTGGCATGGATTGTAGTACGGCCACAGTTCTTTGCCTCTCATACCTTCAACAGAGGGACTTACTGGATTTAATAGTTTCAGCACTGGGGATTGCTGGATTTTCAGAGTTACCATGCAGACCCTACAGTCAGCTGTGCTTACATTATTGGCAGCCCTGGATGTGACTATACTGGCCAGACTGGTATGGTCATATGAGGATCACAAGCACATGGCTTGTGCAGAGATGGCAGTGATCCTAGCTGACATTATGTGGAGTTCACTCTGTTAAGTGACTTATTTGTGACTTGCTGTGGTTTAGGTGCCGAAAAAGTTTGAACCCTATACCATAATCCATTGCTTCAGTCTTGTACAAAGTAGTATAGAAATGAAGTATGTTGAGGTCAGAGTATTGCCTGTTGTTTCATGCCATCGAAGCCAATCTGGCTGACCTCTCTTGAGGTGTACCTACAAGTGGTGAGTGCTCCAGAGAATCAGAGATAGTAAGTCAAAACACACAAGACTTGCATGAAATGTGTGGGTTTGTTTTGTTACAGGCATACATGATGGATTATTACATGTACAGTTCATCCTCAGTTGAGAACAGCCCTCCCTACCATATTGGGTTCAGTTATATCTTGCCTAGCATGATGAGCTCCAGTGAGGGTCAGGCCATTGTTCCCATTACCAGCCGCAGCCATCGTCCTATTGGTCAGCTGAAATGTTAGTATTACAGCTGTGTCTCTTGTTTCTTCTCTTTTTTATTTGTAACTATATTCTTTGGTCTCTGTGAAATACGTTTTGAATAGACACTTGTAATTTAATTTAACCAGTCCATTCATATAATAAGATCTAAAAGTTTGTGACAATATATTAATACAACTGTTTATGTTTCTGGACATTATCTGTTGACCTGTTTTTATTTAAAGCACAACACTTTGGAGACTGGATTCTGTCTCTGTCTTGAGATGGAATGTATTCGGTTGGACCCAGTCAGTAGAGTTGGTCCCTATAGGGAGTGGTTCCACCTGAAGACAGAGTCAGAATCCAGTCTCCAAAACGTTGTATTTTAAATAGGGATAGGATGATGTTTTAAATAAAAACAGGGCATTGGATAATTTCCAGAAACACAGTACTTTCATTCATATTATGTTTAGCACTTTGCATCCAGTATTGCTACAAGTAGCAACAGGCTCTTTTTATGAAGAGACCAGAGTTGATACTAGTACCAACTCACGGTTTGAAAATTAGCAAATAGAAAACTATCTGTAATATCATCGTGAATGTTTCACTGTTGGCAGTTTTACTGCTCATGAGTAAAATTCACTGTTATAGTATACAATATGGCATCACTGTGAACAGATTATTGCTGCTCACTTTTCACCATATCAGCGTGTGTTTTTTTAGCAGTAATGTTGCTTCATTTCTTCTCTATCTCAATTCTTTTCTGTTTCTTCTCACCTTGTAATGAAGTTACAGTCTCGAGGGCCAAGGAGTGACACATCTCCTGATCTAAAAATAGACCACATTTTGTTTGGAACTTGAGGTCAGCAGTTGATTCACTTTGCTGCTCGTGACATGGAAAATCCAGGACCAAGTACAAGTAATGGGTTTTCTCTGTGTTGTCATTATTGATGATAGTGACAGCTGAACTCTCTGTCATTATTGATGATAATGTGACAGCTGAATTTATAACTGATTAAGATTTGGATGAATATAAAATTGAGGAGACCCAAAATAATGAAGATACTGCAAGCAGTAACAGTGATGAAAGTGAGACAGTTCCTTAACCACTGACGGCAAGAATGGAAACATGGAGCAACCAGACAGCAGACTGATGCAGAATTATGATGGAAACAAAACTGCCACAGTAAAGAGAATTTTTTGGTCATTGAGGCCTAATCACAAACATAGATATTTCTGAAGAAAATATTTGAATTGTGTGAAGCCAGAAGTTGATATTAATTTTGAAGAGTATGCTGGTGCTCACACCACTGATCAGTAACATATGAGGTGCTATCGGAAAGTACCAGGAATAGGTAAAATAATAAATGCTGGCTTTTCTTACACTCAGTTCTGGCTACCATCTCCTTCAAAATAGTCTCTTTTGGAATGTATACAGCACTGTGTCACATGGCAGACTGATGCAATAAGCTTACAGAAGTGTGACCTTGGCTTCCCCTCTGATCTTCTTTCATTGAGGCAGTTACAACAATTACTGCCACTAAAAGTTTATGAGAAATACAAGATTTGTGGTGAGGTATCATATCAGCTACTGTCATGTTACTGTTTTGAAAGAAAGTCTGTGAAATGGTGGGAATACTGTTCTTTCACCTCTGTAACCTTGCCCTATTAAATGTGAACATCTTGTGTCAGAAGGAGATCAAACAGAAGACCATACTTCTTAATTTTCTGGAGTAGGGGGTTGACAGACTAGTTTGTAATGAGAGCGTGGAGGTTGTGAAGCAGCCATGGAAAGTTCTATAGGAACATTTTTTGCCAGAGACCATTTTACATGTGGGATTCCTTCACTGTTATCAAAAGTCAAGAAGGATTAGACATATGTGTAAGTTTTGTGAAGCAAGAGGCAAGCATCACACCAGAAGGCCATTAAAAATACCCAATATTGTGTACAGTCCCAAATGAAATATAGGTCTTTTTATAGGTTGTGCTTACAAGATTTACCACATGAAGGTGAATTACAGGGACTAATGTGTGCGTGCACACTGAACTGGTATTAAATGTGTGCCACTGGGTTCAGAGTATTTATGCTGTACATTATATGATATATCTTTTCATGCCAGTAGCTTTGCTGGTGGTGAAATTCTGTTAGGTGGTTGAAAATAAATCTTTGCCTGTGAAGTACCAATGGTTCTACATTCTGAGCAACCATTATTTGTAATTTTTAATGACTAAATATTGCATTGTTGCAGCAGTGCATGTGCACAGTCCAACTGACAGAGTATTGCATTTCTTCAATATTAATATTCTTACCCCTGAAGTAAAATGTGGCTTATAACCCCACAATACTGGGAAATTTCAAATCCCATATTCACCATCTGTAACCTGTTTCCCTAAGGTTAAACTCCTGCTGCCAACCCCATAGTACAAAGGGATTTAACGCCCTCTATTTCTATGTCGTAAAGTTTAATAAATCTATAGGATAGTCCTATAGTTAATGGTTTTTTCTAAATGGTAATTGTAGTTTATAAGATTTGAATCTTCTGTAGCAGTTTATCAGCCATGTGAAGGTGTTTCCATAGCTGTCTCTGCCTCATTATCAGGGGTTGATGTGATGAGTGATACAGGTGCAGGTATTTGTACGTGCAAAGTATGGACTCAGCTGTCTCAGCACAGACTACCATAAGGGTGTCAGGTGAAATCAAGTTGTAAGTCATCATGGTCCATGGTACTTATCCAGATCATTGTGACATGCTGCCTGTTGTTGATCATCCATGTCTGTGTTTTTTTGTGGTCCACCCTTTTTGAAGCATGTTGGTGGCTGTGTTTAATGAACAGCTTAGGGTGGATCCAGTATCCCTGTCAAAGTTGTTGGGATGTAGCCAACAGCTTCAACAGTGAAACTTCAAGCTCTTTCTTATAGCTGCCTACCAACATGCTTACAAGGGAGGACCATCAAAAAATATCAACAAGAAGTACCAATAACAGTCAGAGTGTGAAAGTGTCCAAAATAAGCATCATGGATTATGATGACTCACTGCCTGACTCTACTCACTCTTCCCCCAGCCACCCATACTGGAGAAGGACATCACTGACTGCCACCATTCTCTCAGCCTGCACTAGGATAGACAGAGGCATATATCATATGGCTGTAACATTCATTATGTCAACCCTTGATGGAGACAGAGACATTCTTCATCATCACACAGCTGATCACCTGAGAAGACTTCATTGTAACATTCATTATGTCAAGTGGAGACAGAGACATTCTTCATCATCACACAGCTGATCACCTGAGAAGACTTCATTGTAAAAGTAACTCTTGTCCATAATGTTGTTTATATGTTTACAGTTGACTACTTGGTGGTGCACCCCATCAGTGGATATGAATGTGACATGAGTGTATCATATAGTCGCATATGGAAGAAAACGTGGCAAGGGCTTGATGTGGGGCACCGTGGTCTTGGAACATCCTTCAAGCTTGAAGTGGCAGAGTTAGTATCAGTAACTTTTGTCTCTATTGAATTGCATTTGTCAAAATATGGATATTAAATGAAAAGAAAGAGTTGGTGTGGTTAGTCAATATGAAGACTATTACTGTACCTCTTCTGAGGTTCTATCCATACATGTATAAGAAGTTCCACTTACATTGCTCTTTCTTTGAGGTGTCATTAAAATTTTTCCCTACTCTGATGACATTCATTTTTACATAGTCATGCCATTTGTCTTTTTGTGTTTACATTTAATTCTAGTACTCTTCCAGGAATTCTTTAGTTCTATATAATTTTAATTTTTCATATTGAATTACTTTTTTATGTCAAGAAATGTAATTAATAGTATACTATTAATATTAGGCACATTGGAAATATATGTAGTAGTAGTACCATTTTATACGTTAAATTCAGTTTGGAATTGTTTTTGGTCTCCAATTCTCTGTTTAAAAACATAAGCTTATTAAGAATATAGTTCTACCTGTATGGGTCTGGAACTTGGTCTCATGGTAAAGGGAAGCCATACTAATAGATTAAGGGTGTTTGAGAACATGGTGTCAAGGAGAGTAATTGGACCAAAGAGGGAGGAGATTAGAGTAGGATGGAGAAAAGTACATAATGAGAAGACTCATATATATGCTCCTCATTAAATAATACTAGGTTGACCAAATGGGGAGGATGAGATATTCAGGACATGCAGCACAAATAGGAGAATTGAGAAATGTCAGAAAACTTGAAGGGAAGTTACCACCTTGAAGAACTAGTTGTAGATGGTAAGATAATATTAAAATGGATCAAAAAGAGGGCAGTAGAGTGTTGAACAGATTAATTTGGCTTTGGATAGGAACCAGTGGTGAACTGTTATGAACATGTTATTGAACTGTTGGATTTCATAAAAACTATGGATCGTCTTCAGTAGCCAAGCAGCCCACTGTTCTGAAGAAATATTCTGCTTCATAGAATTTGTTAGCCAGTTTGGCGATTATGTAACTTCTCTGCGGGGGAGGGGGGATGGAAATAGTTGTTCAGAACTAGGCAGATGCTGAAGTATTGATTAAAGAGCTTGGGGAATGAACACATGCTGGTATTATAAAGGGTATTTCCACATGTATAATGCCTCTGTTTCTCGTGTCGGCTGTAGTGTATGCATTCTGTATATCCTGTTGCTGAGAAATGGTTTAGACACTTAAAAGTAACATTTTAAAGAAAGAAAAGCTCTAGAACTAGATAGACAGTGTCTACTTGTGTCTGCCTCCATTTCCAGGCCTCCTCTAGTTCATTGATATCACACCTTTTAATTCACTGGAGTTACTTACATTTGCACTAAAACTGCAGAGGAATAAAGCCATGAATATCGCCAAAGATCCATGTCCCATGAAATGTGACAGTGAAGTAACTCTTAAAACTGTTGGTGGGTTTGACCACCTTCAAAACATCTAATGCTGATTTTATACACACATTCTAATATTTCTGCCATATTTGGAATCACTACTGGTGATGGTTTTTAAAGAGCTTGTAGTACTACCATCCTGTTACTCTGAAAACTTGTGTAGATTTAAATTGCATCTCTTTGTTAAAAGTGTCAGTTTTGAGAACATGAAAAATTTCTATTAGTGCAAGTTCATGAACTTAATTTGGAATGCTTGATTGAATGTTTCTTATGGCAGAACAAATTTGTAATTGCCCATTTCTTTTATGCACAAAAAAGAAAATCATTATGGTTTTGACCTTTAATTTTGACCATTGCATGCTTCAGTTTGAACATCTCTATTTGAGCCTGACATTTTGTTTCGAGATCATACTGGAAGATCCATTTTTTCCACTGATTACAATTTTCCCCCCCCCCTCCCCGACTTTTTCTAGAATGCTTTTTGCAGTGTGTCTCTCTCTTTGCTTCTTAGTGATTGGGAAAAATATTTTACACATTTGAAGCAATTCTTGAAGTTGTTTGATGGCCAGATCTTTTATCATCTTCAATAGTTCTCCCATTTTGAAATTTATTAAATCAGAAGAAACGAAAAGAATACAAAGTATTAAATTTGATAAGGAAGATTCAAGATATGCTCAACGCATATTAAGAAGCTTGCACTGCCATGGAAAATAGAAGAAATTATGGACAAAATAGACCATGCTGAGAAGGTCGCGTTATGAATATAAAACTTTTTACATTCATGACTGAAATTAAACGGGACACATCACCTGTTGGTCTATGCCGGTGATGTGAATCTACTGGGTGATAATGTAGATACCATAAAGAAAAACACACAATCTTTAATTGATGCAAGTAAAGAGGTTTGTCTAGAAGTAACCACAGAGGAAACTAAGTATATGTTACTGTCTCATCACCAAAATGCAGGGCAAAATCGTGACATAAAGACAGGTAACAGATGTTTTGAAAATGTGGCACAGTTCAGATATTTGGGAACAACAATAACAGATCGAAACCTGATTCAGGATGAAATTAAGAGGAGATTGAACTTGGGTAATGCTTGCTACCATTCAGTCCAGAACCTTTTGTCTTCTTGTCTGCTGTCCAAAAACATAAGAATTTGAATATACAAAACTATAATTTTGCCTGTGGTTGTGTATGGGTGTAACCGTCCAAACCTTTTAATACTCTTTAATGGACGCATGTTCCTTTTCGGCCATTTCAATAGAGTGACTGATTTATAAAG